TTATTATGTGCAGGTGATGATTATAAAATATGAGTGTGTAGGAATGATGCGTTAATAAATAATGATAATATGTTTGTTTAACTTTTGATGTATGCTTGTTTTGAATAACTTTTGTGATTTAAGTGTTTGATATGCTTTCTCTGCTACTATATTAGTATTATGTTTGTAAACTAATGTTTACATTCTTTATATTAGTATTATGTTTGTAAACTAATGTTTATATTCTTTAAAGGAAGATGGAGAAACCGAGGAGGAGCAAGATTAAAAAGTTGATGATGTAAAAGCAATAGGGAAGAAGCATAAGTTAATTATTAGGTTCAAAGATTGAAAAATGAGAATAGGTTCAGGAAGACCTAGAATAATCAGAAAATTGGTTATTATTAATGCTAAAATATTAAAGATATATAAGGAAGAAAAACTTGAACAATCACCTAAAATCTGGCTATGAAAAGATTAAGTTAATCGATTAACCACCTTTTTTTTTCTTTTATTTGCATATTATATTTATAAGCTTAATTAACTTTAAAACAATCTATTTTAAAAATTTAAAGAGCTTAAATTGTATATGTTTAGGCAGCTAAATATTATAAATTTTGACAAAAAAATTTTTAAATAGAACTTTAAAATTTATATTGCTAATCATCCTCTTTATAATCTTTTGCTTAGAAAACACAGGATAAGGTGTTACACCATTATCAATAGCACATTCTTTTTTTAATATATCAAATATCAATTCAAAATTGATAATTCTTTTGATATTATTTATTGTTTCTAAGTTTGTTATTGTATTACAAAAATTAAAATAAGAAATCCCTTAGAGTACTATTTTTTTTACAGTAATTTCTTATTCTCTTTTGGTAGAGTACACAAGTTAGTTAACTATAAATTAGCAAATATTGTTATTAATCTTATTTTGTTTAATGTTATTTTTTCTTTTTATTTTTCTGATGCAAGATTTTTAGGTTGATTCATTCCTTTGCAAAATATTGTTAACCTTCTAAATAATTCCAAACACATTATATAGAGTGTAATATGACTATAGTTTCAAATATTATTATTATGTGCAGGTGATGATTATAAAATATGAGTGTGTAGGAATGATGTGTTAAGAAATAATGATAATTTGATCGTTTAACTTTTGATGTATGCTTGTTTTGAATTACTTGTGTGATTTAAGTGCTTGTTATGCTTTCTCTGCTTCTATATTAGTATTATGTTTGTAAACTAATGTTTATATTCTTTAAAGGAAGATTGAGAAATCGAGGAGGAGGCATGATTAAAAGGGTGTCAACTTCAATTACCATAAAATCGCTTCCAAAATAATGAGTTGTCATGTGCAACTCTCCACATCTTCAAAAAAACACCAAATAATCCAAATAAAACATAATAAGAAATCAATCGTTTCCAACCCCGATATTGCAAGATCAGAGCAACTTCCAGACAATGATAAACTAAAGAATTAACTCCATGAGCTAACTCCCACTTACTACCACAACCTACTCCTGAGTATCTGCAAGATGTTCATGGTGCACAACATTTAGCAAGGAGTGAGAAACAATATTCCATATTAACATTGTAAATAATGCTAAGGTAAAGAAATATAGAACAAATATACATTTATTACATATCAATAACCACATATTCTCACACCCATTCAACAAAACATACACGTATTTTCAGCCAAAAAACTACCTCTGGAATAATCAACAACATATATAAGCATGTATGTAATGCATCTAAAACTGACTCATTATGCATGATGTACCATTTATGAACACTATCAATAAACAAAATCACCAAGAACCTCCATGAGGTAGCTCTGCGTGTTAGCTTTCCAACACTTTGAACGACGTCTCATTTGGACCTACAGAACAGAAGTTACGGCCAAAATCGACAAAGGGGTCAACCACCCGAAACAGGAGCCAATCAATTGCACTAGAGGGGGCAATCACTTGTCTCAGCCCGCTGCCAGCGAATTTTTTAAAATTGTAAGTGAACTTATAACATGTTTACTGTAGTGAATAGAATGGTTTATAGCCAATAGATTGGTTTAGTCAAAATTCAGTTTTTCACGTGTCAGTAACAACAACCAATAGATTGTTTACTGTAGCCAATAGATTTATTCAGCCAACTTTTAGTGTTTTTCAAAGGAACCAATAGTTGTTTACTGTACCCAATATATGGGTTCATTCAAAATTCATTTTTTTACGTTTCAACAACTTTCCTCACTTTCAATCCTCACCCAAACACACCCTAACACCTAAACAATTTATATCCAAAATTTAACAACAAATCATGTCATCATAATCTTTAAGATGTACTTCACCTATCTCATCATCATTATAACAATTTCATAATCAAACTCAACATCAATTTTCATCAATACATGAATAAAACTCAACATTCAAGCCTTCATCCATGGCAGAAAATTAAATATGCATAAACAAGATGATTCACACATTGACTAAGTCACAATAACCACATAATCAACATAAGCAATCATCAATTTCATATATGAACACAATAACACATCCAAAATAGAATTATACAATCCTAATGAGAACAATAGCCTCTCTTCTCTACCCCATCATGTAATACACACATATTGATAGCCCTTTCTCTCCACTTACCTTGTAATTCTAGCAAAAATCAGTAAAGCAAGGTTCAATTGATTTTCTTCTCTCAAGTTCTAGCACTCCCTTCCAAAGCATTTTTCTGCAATTCCTTGATTTTCACGTACCGATAGAATGAGTCATATTTCTCCCTAATTTTCTAATTATGATAACAAAACTCCTAAATTTTGAATTTACCTTTCTATCCTCCCTTAATCACAAAAAACCAACAATTCCCTTCCTTTTTTATTTCCTATATTTAACTATTCCAATCTTATTATTTTACCTCTAATAATTAAATTAAATTCACTAAAACTGTTACTACTCCTATTATTTTATTTAATAATTAAAACACAACTATTTTAATTATTCTGCCACTTCTACACTATCACCGTACTACTTTATTCTTCTCAACCACCTCACTACACCCCTCACACATAAATAAATTATTAAATTTAAACTAATTAAAATATGTGAAATCATTTAAGCACGCTAAATCACTCAAATACGTAAATTAATTTAATTAAATAATTAAACAAAAAATCGAGGTGTTACACTTAACGATGTTGCAAATGCTTTTCTTCATTGCTTTGTGGTTCAGTTAGGCCTATGCATAATAGACTTCACAATTTCATGTAAATCAAGAGAAACAAACATAATTCTCCTGCTATCATATCCAGACTCAAATCTATTCACAAATTAAGAATTTGATGTTAGAAACTTGCAAAATAAGTCACTAAGTGCCAAATTTCAGTGTGATCAAATACCATATTTTTGGCACTTATCTGTGGTAGATTTTTCTAAAAGGGCAAATAGAAGGTGTATATTAGTCAAAGTGGATTTTGAGAAGGCTTATGATTATGTTTGTTGGGACTTTCTTAAAAGTATGATGAAAATAATGGGTTTTGGCATGAAGTGACGTGGGAGGATGGAAGAGTTGGTGTTTAATAGCTCTATGTCCGTTTTTATTTATATGAGTCCTACATTGGATTTTAAAGTGTCTAGAGGTTTAAGACAAGGGGATCGTATTTTTCCTTTTCTTTTTCTTTTGGTTGCGGAAGGTTTTTCCGGTTTAATGCACCATGCAGTTTCTTAGGGAGAATTTGAAGGTTTCCACCTTGACGACTCTATTCACTTTAATTTGTTGTAATTTGCGAATAATACCATCTTGATTAGAGAAGGATCTTGGATGAATATTTGGACCATCAAAACCTTACTTTTGGGTTTTTAGTTGGTTTCGGGCCTCGGGTGAATTCGTCTAAAAGCAAATCGTTTGGGATTAATCTTGACTCTTATTTTTTTGCAGGCAGCTGCGACATTTTTGCCTTCTGGGTTCCGTTCGATTCCCTTTATGGTTTTGGGCATTCCTATTGGCAATAATCAAAGAAGAAAATATTCTTGGGTTGTGATTATTTCCAAGTATAAAAGAAGATTGATGGTGTGACAATAACCTTACTTTTTGTTGGTCACTTTAATTTTGTAGGAATTTCATTCTCTATAAGGGTAGTACTCTTATAACTTTGGATGCATTGAGTTTTTTTTAAGGTTTTAACTTGGGATTGGTTCAATGTTTTTCAAAGAAAATGGAGGAATATTACTTGGGTTGATTGGTGCAATAATTCTGGTGCTTGTTGGCTGTAGTTCTTGTTTCCTAGTTTTTTTTTGTTGGTTGTTAGTTGTGAGTTGGTTTTTTTAATTTTTCTTAATCTCTTGATTGTATAAGGGTAAGCACTCTTAATGCTTCTTTTTAATTTCAAGTTGGCGACTGCTTATAAAAATATATATAATATCTACAAAGAAACGATGAAAATGTAAAAAAAATCTAAAAAAATATCAAATGATTTTAAAAGCTAGTTGAACTTTTTAATCTACCATACATCTAAGCGGAAAAAAGAGTAGTCTTTTATATGCACTAAGAAAACTCAAATTTCTTCTTCTACTCTTCCTTTCGAAAAGCTCTTAAGGAGGCCAAGATTATTTTCCATAATATAGGACACCTTTATCGACGAATATGAAAGAGTTGAGAAGTATTTGAGCAAATACAAATTAACTGTATACTAATTATGAATGATAAGGGAATACATTGTTCTCCTTGCCACCCCTTTGGACCAGAAGGACGCATTGACTAATAAAAAATTCTCTAAACCTCACTTGGTTCATTTTGGCCTCATACAATAATTTTGCAGTATAACAACATAAAAAATTATGATTTGTAAATAAAAAGAAAATCCAAATTAGTTTAAATTTATTTATATAGATTAATTAACACTTATTCAAACTTGCGTACATCACACATTACACGCCACATCACGATATTAAGAATACACAAGCGATTATTGGCTTAGATATTCACAACTTTAGGATATAATCTTAGAGGCGTTTGTTTGTTTAGGTTATAAGAGAGATGCTGTCAGAAATCAACTCAGAGGTGATAAACTTATTTGCAGTCTCAGTGTGATGAAGACCATCCCAAAATACATATTTAGATGCATTAGAACATAATCTTACAAAAGTCTTTTTATTATTATATGATGATGTAAAAGTTTTGTCTAGGAAGCTCGTCCCAAAACAACTCTTTCTTGTTTCAGAAAATCCTGCAAATGAAAGAGTACTCAT